GTGCCAACAGGTCAATGAGGCATAGTTGGACTGGGACTTGCACGTTCCGGGTGTCCTAGCCGCGTATAGGATGGCCCCTCACACCTCAATAGGATTCTCCCCCTTTTACCTCATGTATGGGAGGGAAAGTGACCCCCCCATGGAGGCTCAGATAGGCATAAACCTGGACAAGAGGAAGGCCGTGGTGCCCATGCCCATGCAGCTCACAATCAGGCGGCTGCTGGAGGCGCAGGAGGCATCTCGGGGAAAGTCGGCTAAACTGCAGGCAGCCAATGAAAAGCTTGTGGGGCAACGGGCAGTCCGGGACCCATGGACCACTGGGGACAAGGCATGGTTACATTGTACCCAGGTGCCCCTGGGCACGTCCTTCAAATTACACCGGCCGTGGCAGGGCCCTGTTGAGGTGATTGAGGTTAGGAGGCCGCAGTGCGTACGTATCCAAGTCACGATTGAAACTCTATATTCAACCCTGTGGTGACAGTTCATCCCCACCTCCTGAGTGCCGGGTGTCTCATGTGTCTGATGAGCCAGGGCGAGCAAGCACGGAGGTTGCACGTCAACAGGATTCCGTTGTATCGCCTGCAGAATTCCAGCACCTGACGTCCGTAGACCCACTGGTAGCGCCTTTGGAGGATTGACCAGGGGATGACGGAATGGTTGCCACCTTCTTCTTCTTCCCGGGAGGGGCCGTGCCCATTAGGCCATTACACATTGTCCCAGGGGTCCCCAGAAAGTCAATTCTCGTCCCACCTGGGCGCCCGGCAATGAGGACCCGCTAGAAAATTGTTAGGTTTGGATAACCCGCCCCCTTTTCTGTTGACCAAATTAGTTCCGACGCCAGTCTGGCGGGTGGCTGCAGACACGAGCCGGGCTGTGACTATTGGCTGATCCTGGGGTCCTTCCCGACGCTTGCGGGCTGCGGCACGCTGGCGGTCGTCAGATATTTTTCAAATCCCTGGGATCCAGGTTCGTTACTGTGGGTTCTCGCCTGAATTTTGTTAAATCTCCATCAATCGTCACACACACTTAAGTACCTTATTGACTGACTTGTGAACTTGTATTTATGTTGGAACTATTTAGTGATTTATCAATGACCAAACCATCTGGAATGCGCCCGATTTCATCGGATCTCAGAAGCTAAGCAGGTACGAGCCTTGATAGCACTTTGAATAGGTGGCTAGCTAGCGTTTGCAACTCTTGACTGAAGCTATTCCGAGAGATTAGTTATTATTTTAAAAATGTCCTTAAAATATCCTATTATTAAAATCACCCGAATATAATTCCAATCGTTACCATGAGATAGATTCCAATTCCAGTAAGCTCGCTGCCAATCCGAGAGAGTTGGGAACCCTCTACAACCACCATATGCACAAACAAGTTGCTATAGGCTGCTACGGGGCTACCTGGTGACCAGCAGAACCTTGTTGTACAGTACTGTATTTTAATGGTGCCTACGTCGATGCTGCCCATCTTCACAAACTTGCGCTGAAGAGCGTTCCAGTAAACATGCCGACGTTGACTGAACGTTGACCCTACGTTGGCATTGGGTTGACAGCGTTGGAACAAGGTTGGCCCGACGTTCCACGTTTAGTGGAGTGGTGAAGCATGGCCAGATAACCAGCATAGCCAAATAACCGCAATGGCCCGTAGAGCATTCATAGTCCCACATCTCGCAGTGGATGAGTAAACAGGCTGCACAATTACATATCTGATAAATAAATAATGGGTCTACGTTTTGAATATCCTACTTTAGCCACTTGATGCAGGAGGTGACTTCCTAAATCTTTATCCACTTAGAGCGTGTGTACAGACTAAAAGAACCATTTATGCTTTTAGTAACGCCCATCCCTACATTAGGTTTGTTCACAGCTAATATATTTCTGAACACAGGTTTAAGGAATGCAGGTGCCCCAGTGCGTTGTCTATAATCTATGTTCAGCACTGGCAACACGAGTGGGCATGGATTAAGAGCCAGCTCGACTGTGACTGTGATTAATGGCAGACCTCGTGGCTTAATTGTTCCTGAGCCATGCCTCGAGGTGTTGGCTGTCTTTTAGTTTGTGATCGTGGCGTGATCCATCATCACCACGTGCGCCAATGGGAGGATGTCTGGGCGGTGATACGCATGGCTCAGCGGTGGCGCATTGGCCGCTTGTTTTGCAGAGCTTCGCGGTTCGACCCACAACCGACCTGGTTAATATAACGGGTGTATTCACTGTGAAAATAGACCCGTGTATTTCTCAGTCGACATTAATGATCTCTTGACGTTATTCTAAAAAGAGTAGGCCATATGCGCATGTGTCATGGTCCGAATTCAACAATTCACTTAATTGAAAAAGACATGGCAATCGTCGATCGTTGCCCCAAACTGCTAAAATATAGCAGGACCCTCTTGAGACTCAGTGAGGCTTTCTTGGGTAAATAAATATAATAATTCATAATTGGTTTATTTTTGGGTAAGATTGTAAAAATATACCTATAGCCCTCTACCACCCGACTGGTCAAACAAAGCAAGTTGTCACATGGGCAAACATACCAATTGATTCTGTTTTGTAGCAAATACATTTATTTAAAAGCAAAAAAAAATTGCTAAACGGAATCAATTTGCCCCACTTGCTCACGAGAAAATTGATTTGTATAGCTCTAACTAAACAAGAAACAAATTATGATTCATTACATTACCCGTGAAAGCCTATATATGACACTACATGTATTGATAATAATTCAACAGCCCAGTTTTGTTGTGCATAAGATGACATGTTAGTCAACGTGACTACTAATAGCACAGCCAATGCAACAAGTCTGAGTGGGTGTTGCGGACACATTTGGGTGCTTGTCAACAACTTGTTGATATGACTTTTGCAACAATTATAACTTTCCCAGATGGAGTGGTGGCGCAGTGGTTAGTGCGCTTTTTCATTCATGAATTTTAAACGATTGCTTATACTAATGAGATGATGTCATATGTGAACGCGTCATTTTGTTTATACAGTACATAGTTTATTAAGTCGGGTATTTACGCAGATAATACGTAGTGCCCCCCACGACCAAACCTGTCTCACCTTGGGTTTACAAAAAGTAGAGACCCGGGCAAGGAACACAGTGTGGCGTGTGACATCACGGAGTGGTCGAAGAAGCTGATGCAAATAATCAAATAAAAGTTGGGCAAACGCATGTTTAAACATATTACAGAAATCATATGTGTGCATGATTATTCTTCCGTGTTAACATGCACAGTATACATTTTAATGAAAGCCTCATTGAATTGAACTATTTTACAACCTGCTTCTGAGTTTTATGGTGCCATGTCCCGACACGTGGCCGTAAAATGGATATTACAATTCACTTACACAGCCCTCCCAGCAGGATTGTGACATTGTTTCAATGTTGAGTTTTTGGTTGGAAATACGTCATCACGTTGAACAATGAGGAAACATCCGTGCAACGTGTGTTTTCTCCAACAATAGTTGAAGCGCAGTTGATATTGAACGTTGATACAATGTTGGAAATTGATCTTGAGTGCAACATGTACAGCATCAGAATGTATAATACACATACGTACTTATAAAGCACGACATTATCAGGATTATATAATTCACCTATTCGTTGGTGAGTGAAATACTGGGGAAATTAGGTGTTATGACTCAATTAAATTAAACGTTTTTAATTTACTAATATTTAAAAATTAGTTGTATATGTTTGTAGGTTAACCAACCAATATTATTCATTACTTCTTTATTTTTGGTTAGATCATGTAGGTGTGTGGTTTTCATTTTGACTATAATCCTCCACCATTAGAAACAGCCAAGTTTTCATGTGGGCAAATATGCCATTTGATTTGGCTTTACAATTTGTTTGGAAACCACAAAAGTTAATATTTTTTATAGGGAAATATGTAAGAAAAATGTTTCATTCTGTGTCCGCCCAAATTTTTTTAATTGTGGGTTTGATCCCATCTTCCATGCATGGCAGTTAAACCAGAGTGGAAGTTTCTTACAATCCCATGCTTCTGTCTTCCCAGCAGTACATTTACTTACATTTAACTTTGGAGGATCAACATAGCCATAAGCATTCTAATAATTGTAAATTTACAATGCAGTGTTTATTATGCAAATGCTGTCAGTGACTCTTAATAAGTATAACCCGTAAAAACAAAGTTTTTCACTATAAATCCTTTATATGCGTGGCGGCTCGAGTCCTCTCGTCCTCTGGCTTGAGATGGCTGCCACCTATGGGTCAATTGATTGTCTGCAGTATTAAACAATTGGTAATTAAATATAATATTTTTGTCCTATAAAGTGTAACATTTTGGAAAAAAATTTTCACGAACATTAATTGTCACGCACAACGAGTCTGTGTGGAAAATGTCAACTCGATTGGATCATGGGAAGTGGGTTAAAAAACGACCGAAAGATTTACACGGTCGTAAGCAAGCAAGCACGCAAACAAGCAAGCCAACTTAATATAAAGGATTTATAAAAAAAAATATTCCCTCAAATATTGCGAAAACATTTAACAAATAGCTATAAATACAAAACATGAATGTACTAAATTAACTTATTTACTTCTTTCATTAATTGACTTTGGTATTTCATAATTATTTTGTCAGAAGATAAAATAATTAAGAAAAAAAAGCAATGATCATTGCGGAACAACAATATACATTATGGTCATGCAAAACGGACTATATATAAAACAATACTTTCGGTAAAGTCACGTAAAACAATGTGTTTTATATTTGTATTATTTTATTATTTCACTTCTACGTGACTTTACCGAGAGTATTGTTTTATATTTGTATTATTTTATTATTTCCCTTCTACGTGACTTTACCGAAAGTATTGTTATTTATTTTATTATTTTATTATTTCCCTTCTACGTGACTTTACTGAAAGAACCAAGAATTATTAACAAATGACCCTTCTTGTTTGGGTTGCTGACCCCCCCCCCCCTCTTGGCTTCCGGTTCCGGCCCGTTGCCAAGGAGACGTGGCACGCGCGCCGCTTCTGGTTGCCCCGGGCAACGCGGCCTAACGCAGCAGCGGCGACATCGAGGCGAGCGACTCACGCTCTAAGCTCAACCTCCTTTAACGGTTAACGATAAATTGCTATTTACTTTACAGCGTTCTTAGTTGCTTATTACGATTGTATTCTGTATAATACGCAGTTTTAAAAGGTTTGGCAGACTGTGCGTGCACGCGCCAATATGAGCCAGAGGCAGGTTCTTCAAGGTGAGTGCTACAGATTATTTAAGTTTTTATTTTGTTGTTGTCGTAAACTTATTAAACGTGGAAAAGTGACGTGTATTTGTGCGGCACCGCGGAAAGTAACAAGCTAACATTCAGCTGTATCAGTGAGGGTCGATACATTCAATGTACCGTACTCTACAATAAAACGAAATGTTTAATTAATCGGACGCATTCTCCTCGGGTTTGAATAATCACCGTCATATCATCATCAGTCAGGGTTATATCCATCCACTGCTGGCCTTCACTGTTGCCACAATCCAACAATCGCTCCATCTCCGCGGTTGTCGCCCTCTCGAGGTGTTCCCCTGACTGCCGTTCCCTCAGCAGTCTCATCCATCAGCCAGCATTTCTTCAAGGGGTGGCAGTGCCCTGCTAATCCCACTTACTTTCCTCAATAGGCAATGCAGCATCTCTAAATTTAATCCTCTGATTCATGTGATCCTCTTCCTGTCATTCAATGTAATCATACAAAATACAGCCCGGCATTATCATCATCCACCTTCGATAAAATAATTACAAAAGGATCCCAACAGTGCTTGTCCTTTGATTAAATTTGTCTCGCCATAGGAACGTGAAGTTTCACCAATAATTGACATCAAAGGCTCTGGCAAATGTTGATTCGAGCATGCACTTTATATCACTCGATACGGCTTCATTGGGAAAATATTAAACTTAAAATAATTGCAGGGGGTTGGGTGGCTCATCAATCAGTGTACTGAGCTGGCACACTTGAGCGTCTCGGCTCGAACCTGGGTTTTCTGCCACGTGTGATTACGCGTGGTTCTCACATGTGGGCGTGTCGATGGCTTGAACCCAGTCATCAAAGACTGCATACAAAAAAACAATATACAGTACAATTTGGCTTTCCATTTACATTCACAACATTCCAGCTCGGTGAATGAAAATGTCGTTTGAAAGGCGTGTGACCAACACTTGTCAAGGCATTGAAAAGTGGCCATGCTTTAAAGCAAGGTAATGTACTTTTAGCTACAGTTTTGAACGGCACTTTGTCTCATGATATGATGCCGATAATAACAAACGGCGTATAATTTATGAAAAAAGTACAAATGTACATTCTCCAAAGTTTCAGAATACTTTTGGTAAGTGGACATTATTTAGTTTTAACACGTAGGCTTTCGCGACCAATATCCATAATACAGGTTTCTTTTGTGTTAGATCGCGTAAATATATAAAATCTGGCTGTCGCCTGATGAAGCTCGTAATTACTGGCGAAACGTCGTATTCTAATTGTAAACGTTATGGCTTTGATCTCCAACACACCGATGTGCTGTACTAGTAACGAATTGGCACATTCTGTTTACGTGACACACCTTACTAATTGGCTGTGTCTGGTTGGTGGTAGCAGGTTTAACGACATATTTACGCGATCTAACCCAAAAAAAACTGTATTATGTACATTATTTATTAAATCGGCATGTCTTATAATACTTTTTAATTCACATCCTCATTAGCCATGATATATTCACTGCCGGATGGCCTCCCCAGAACGTCACCAAATTTCACGATTTCGTGCTGCAACAATTCATCTTCAAGCAGCGGCACACAAATTAAACTTATCGTTACAACCTCATGGTGAACATCGTATACGGATACTGTTATACACTATGTATTTAAACGTTATGCTGCCTTATTTTCTTTTTATAGTTTTGTATAGCCATATATTAATTAGAAACATTACAGAATAGTTTATTTTACGTTGAAAATATAATCAAGGTTTTTTTCTCCAAGCTTATTAAATAAGGTCTCCATTGTAGTAGAACTTGAAAATAATGTTTCATCGTGCTTTGACCTCACATTAAATACCCTTATCAGTTTATTGTATTTGGTAAAATCCTATTGAGAGGCCCCTATTCAGACCTGTTTTTACGTGATAAAGTGTTTACTGTTTATAAAGGGACATTTTTTGCATTGTTCACAATTTATTGAGTTTTAGCTCAGAAGAGTCATCTAAATCCTAATTGCATACTCACTAACTTAAATTGTAGAAATGGTGTCCTACTAATTACTGCAACGTATTGCAAACTACTGCAAATTTACCCCTAGGCCAACCCTCTAAATTCATGCTAGTGTATGATAAAAATGTGGTACTTTGTGCTAAATTAGTGGTAGCTTGTGGTACCTTGCAGTACATCTGCTGTCATTTGCAGTAGCTTACAGTATTCTGTGGTATATTTTCAGTAGTTTGCAGTAAATGTGTGGTAGTTTGCAGTCATTTTCTGTACTTTGTGGTAATTTTGTGGGAGTTTATGACACTAAATCTACAGTAGTTTGCGGAACTTTGTGTTACTTTGCGGTAATTGATATAACTTTAGGCATGTATTTTCTTTTCCAGCCCCGTATTACCCATAGTCTCCCTTATAAGACACACGTCCCTTTAAGTCGGTATGCTGTACTAGTAACAAATTGGCATGTTCTGTTTACATGACAAACCTTACCAATTGGCTGTGTCGGGTGGTGGCGGGTTTAACGACAGATTTATATATTTACGTGATCTAACCCAAAAAAACCTGTATTATGGATGATATTGGTCGCGAGAGCCTACGTGTTAAAGTACTTGAATGTTATATTGTACATGCACTTTTAAGATTTTAGGTACAACATCTGCAGTAATTTATTGGCATTTCATAATAAATTATTGCCTAATACAAAATCTTGTGGATGATACATGAATTGAATTATGCATGTATACATCTATTACTTTTAATTGATCTGCATAGTATGTGATTGTTTCATGCAAATGCTGTACTTGTTCATTAATATTTTGCAGTCATTATAAACCATACATGCACAACAATTACATAAATTACACCCATTACAGTTCATTGCACCATGCAGAGGGTGCATTGTTACAAGCTTAGAATTTAAAATCTCATCGGCATACATGACTCTAAACCCTAGTGCACATTGACCCATGTCTCCCCTTGTGCACAGTGTTTGAGCAGTACCAAAAAGCACGCACACAGTTCGTGCAGACGGTGGCCGAGTTGGCAACAAGATCCCACAACATAGACACGCTGCAGAATGCCGGTGAGTGTGTGACTTGCTGTGCTACATCTCTGCTATAACCCACTCGATTGCACCCAATCGTTACACTGCCACCATACCCTCCATCAAAACATTAACTGCCATACCTCCCATCACAACCTCTCCTTGTGGAGGACCCACTAGAGGCTGCAGGGTTCATGTGAATCCATTAAGTATAAGCTTATGCAAATCAAACAAGATCAGTTCTCACTATTGCGCTTTGATGCATGTACCATGCATTTATGAATGAATATTGATCAAATAATTGATGTCTCGTTATATTTGTACCCCACCATTGTAACCCACCTTGTCCCTTCTGACTTATACTTCACCCAAGTGCAACTCAACACACCCTCGTGCCAAACCATGTCACTTGATGTAACTTGTTACTCTTCACCATTAATTGGTAAACTACACTTACCCACACCATGCTTCAAAATTTGTAGATCACCATCTTGCACCTTATCACCTTGCACCTTATCACCTTGCACTTTATTCCACAATGTCCATCACAATTCAACATCGTCCAACCTCCCTTCACAGTATCACAATCTACCACCCACAAAATCCAAACATTACAACACAGGACCATCCATCCTGAAAAAGAGTTTTGAGACTCTTGAGGTTTTCCTGAGTAAGCGTTCATAACAACAGTGTGTATGATACCATAAGCACACACTGGGCTCGATGCGAGGGAGCTCTTTTTTTCAAAGTGTCGTCAGGGATTTTCTAGCTGTCCTGGAAAGCAGTCGTAACATCACAGCGAGCCTCTGCCTCAATCAGTAACTAAACTGTTTACAAACTAGACAGTAAAACATGTAAAATTGTAAAATGATATTTAAGTCAATAAAACTTGGGTGTCTGGGACCTTTACAGAGATTTTCTTCACTTGGACCCTGTTTCGCAGTTAGCACTTGTGATTCCAGCCTTGGCTGTCCCACCAATGCAAGTGTATTCCTGTGGCACAGGGGTGATGGCTCTGTTGCGGCCGCTGCTGCTGGACGCGGTACCCACGGTGCAGCAGACGGCGGCGCTCGCCCTGGGCCGTCTGGCAAACCACAGCGATGACCTGGCGGAGGCCGTTGTGCGAGGCGACGTTCTGCCCCAGCTCATCTACTCGCTGTCCGAGCAGAATGTGGGTCCTCAATGTGGCCCCTGCCCTACAAAATTCACTAATCTTTTTTTATAGACTGCTGAACAAATATTTGTGATACTGCATTGGCAGTGGAACAGAAGCACAAAAACGAAACACTTTCATTGACACAAGCACAATATATTTGTGGCATTTCAGGCAATGGCCATTCTTCATAGCAGATTTGCTATTCACGAATATGGTGAGATTTTCTCTATAGATTGTTGGAGCAAATTATGTTATTGAGCATCTGTTAAGGCTTGTACAACACAAGAAACTGTGTTGTGGCCAGCACCATACCCAGTTGCCTTTTTATCCCCAGTGATAATGTTCACATATTGCACCAGGTACTCATTTATAGCTGTGTCGGCTCTGTGAGAATTGTGGTGTCCTCTTATTCAAATTGTATGGTCACATCAACTACTTGCCTTGCTTGGGTGTGGAGTATGAATTGGGCATAGGTGCTAACTGTGTTGTCCCTCCACCAGCAGCAGACAGGAGTGGTAGAGAGAGTATGCCGGCGTGTGGCCAGAGCTTCTTTCCACAGCAACTGTTGGTGCACATCAGCCTACCCCAGCCTCTGTTGTGGGAACAAAACTCGTTCGTCAGAATTCCTTGCTCCTGCTCCAGGCCCCACATCTGTCGCGATGACCGCAGATAAATCTCATGATCCAGACTACCAGTGTGTAAAATTAATCTCCAGCCTTATGTGCCATTAATCTTACATAATTTCGTTTTTGAAGAAAATTATTTGTGGAACATTTACAGGCTCTTGAGGAGTCTGTAAACACTAAGAATAGGTTTTCCCCTTTTTTCTGGCAACAAAACAAGTATTAAGATGTTAAAACACCAAACTGAAACCTTTTACAAGGAATCATGTCTGCATTAACCACAATACTTGTGGTCAGAATGCAAACAAAAAACATACTCTGATTATATATGCATTGTTTTTGAAACTGATTGGTCCACACCAGAGACAGCTTTCTTAGGAGCCTAGTCTCAAAATGTGTTTAACACTGTTTCGGCGTCTTAATGGTTGGTGTTTCAGAATGGGGGCTAGAGTGACACGGAAAGATATGTTTTAATCATGAGGGTCATGTTCCAAATTAAGTCACTGGATAATTTTGTGGCCCCTGGAATATGATGTCACTAATTCTGAAGTAATTTCTTTGGGCCTTTCATCCAACACTAGATGGCACAACCCTGTTATGCCTGCAAAGAATATTTATCATAGTATTAAAGCGAATCAAACGAATATTCATAGTCATCACGTGTAGAATTAACTAAATGAAGTGACACACTAAAGTTTCACATTTTTCATGCAGTCACAGAGGAATGCACTGAGACAATGAACTCACTTTGTCAGTAGCCTCTGGTTCTCTTGAAAACCTTGTTTTAATCATGGGTAGCTTCTCACATTTCATTATAGAATCTCAATGGTGGCAGTTGAGTGCTCTGACACAGAAATTTTCTGTTGGATGCCATTTCAACACTTTTTAGAATCTTATGGTTCAATATAAATATTAATGTCTTCGGCCCACATTGTCAGACCAATGCACATTTTAGAGTCTTAGGGTTTCTTATTGAAACCCAACACTCACAGAAGCAAACTTCGGATCCTTTTAGGATTCATTGTTAATGCCTGAGGCTCAGAGTGCCAGCCTAAGGCACGTTTAGCATTTGTAGGGCTCAGTATTAATATCTAAGACTCATAGATTCACGGATTCTTCAGCATCATTAATGATTCTTCAACATCATTAATGATCTGAGCTCGGAGAAGTGGTTTCAAATGTTCGTAGCCATGGGAAAGTATCTAATGACAAAAATATAACAATCACCCTCCTCCCCCATGTTATCACCACTGGTGCCCACTTGACCGTCAATCACTCGGCAAGCGCTTCTACAAGAAGGCGGCCGCGTTTGTCCTGCGTGCCGTGGCGCGCCACTCAGGGGAGCTGGCGGGTGCCGTGGTGGAGTGCGGGGCACTGGACGCCCTCACTGCGTGCCTCGAGGAGTTTGATCCTGGGGTCAAGGAGGCGGCCGCGTGGGCTCTCAGCTACATCGCCAGGCACAATGCTGGTGAGGAACTGCACACCGACACCTCCTTCATCGGAGTCGCTCCATGGGTAGGGCAATGCAGAGATCAGTCGTGTGGAGCCATAGTAGAACACTTGACTGGTAGGCTGAGTAAATAACAGTACTGGGGAAAAAAAGATGACCAGGCATAGCACGGACCGCACCACTAACCCATGCCAACCTTCATAGCAGCTCGCTATTATAATTTTTTGCAACAGTTGATACAGGCTACATGGGGGATATATATATATTTATATATATGTATTGTGTACATGCATGTGTATGTGGGCCCCATTCTGTATGTGAATCGCATTGCACATGAATGGACATGCAAATATATGGTGCTTGCACTTATTTTATGCGTGTACAGCACGTGGAGAGTATGCGCCATAGTGGCGAGATGTTTACTACCTCGCCTGGTATACAGGAGGTGGGTTAAATCCCAACACTGATGGCTGTATATCTGGAGTTTGCATGTTCTCCCCATGGTCACATGGCTTTTTCTGCAGATCCTCTGGTTTTTCTCTCCACATTTAGAAACATGCGTTGAGAGTATTTGGCTGCTATAAATTTATATATGATAAGTCACTTTGTTGGGCTATTATTTGTGGCCAGGTCGCTTCTGTAAAAGAGCTATATAGTTTAGTGGGCCTTACCTGGTAAAATAAAAATAGTTTAATAGGTTTTTTAAAAGTTGTATCGAGTGGGTTGGTTTACGTATGAGCAGGTGACACATTTGGAGCATGTGTTTATGCCACGATGTGTGTGAGTGCGTACACGTGTACGGTGTGTATGGGGAGCAGTGGTACATTGGCTAGCGCACTGCGTTACGAAATCCGGAGAGCCAAGTAAATTTTCTGTTCAAGACCAATAGCAATGGTGAATATCTGAACCAGTCCTGGGCCTTCCCTAGTTTCAATCAGCCTTAAATGACTACTTGGTGTGGTGTGTAAACATGAGCACTGGGGAGACAAAGGTGGCCGGGTATGTTGTTAGCCATCTAACCCCTTGTGGGCCATGCTGGCCTTCATAAGGTGCTCGCAAACAGCACTTGTCCCAAAAGTCTGATAATGAGTTTAACACGTAGGCTTTCGCGACCAATATCCATATTAGGGGATTTTGGGTTAGATCGCGTAAATACAGGGTGTTTTAAAAAGATGGACCCAATTTCAAAGCAGTATATTTCACGATGGAAACATGTTATAATTACACAAAAGTTACAAACGGTTTAATGAGTTATCAAGTTTCACTAACCATTTTCTAAATGCTCTATGTGCCCTCCACCTGCTGTACAAACAACATCGAGACGAAAGTTGAATTCGTCCCAAACGCCTCTCAAAGTATCTTCTTCCACTTAAGTCACCGCTGCCGTGATTCTGTTTTTGAGGTCATCCAGATTAGTCGCTAATGGTGGTACAAAAACACGGTCTTTGACGTATCCCCACAAGAAAAAGTCGCAGGGTGTGATGTCTGGGGATCTTGGGGGCCAAGAGTGTAGCGCCAAGTATTGGGGTCCCGTGCAACCTATCCAACGTTGAGGCAGTGTGTCATTTAGAAAACGTCGAACCTACAGGTGCCAATGTGGCGGTGCTCCGTCATTTGAAACTCTATGCCCCGCCCTTTCAAGTGGTAAGAGTTTAATTCATGGGCGGTTCGTGGTTGCAGAAATATAGCGATTTCAAATCGGTTCCATATTTTTGAAACACCCTGTATATAAATGTGTCGTTAAAACCCACCACCACCCGACACAGCCAACTAGTAAGGGTTGTTATGTAAACAGAACATGCCAATTCGTCACTAGTACAGCACACCGGTGTGTTGGAGAGCCAAGCCACAACATTTACATGATGAAGCTATTTTACATGATGAAGCTATTTTATACTTACGTGACTTTACCGAAAGAACCAAAGAGTATGATGAAGCTAGTTGCAATTACTGGCGAAACGTCGTACTCAGATTGTAAATGTTCTGGCTTGGCTCTCCAACACACCGATGTGCTGTACTAGTAATGAATTGGCATGTTCTGTTTATGTGACAACCCTTATTAGTTGGCTGTGACAGGTGGTGGCAGGTTTTAACGACACATATATTTACGTGATCTAACCCAACAAAAACTCTATTATGGAGTCTGTTAATGGCTATATGGGATATCTTTGTCTTTTGCCTTTGGTGTGTACAGAGCTGGCACAGGCGGTGGTGGATGCAGGCGCGGTGCCGCTGCTCGTGCTGTGCTTGCAGGAGCCCGAGCTGGCACTCAAGCGAATTGCTGCATCCGCGCTTAGCGACGTGAGCAAGCACACGGCAGAGCTTGCACAGACTGTGGTGGACACGGGCGCCATAGCTCATCTTGCCCAGATGGTGCTCAACCCAGATGCCAAGCTCAAGGTGTGAACCTATGCTGAGTTACTCCCATGATGTATGCATTTGTTTCATTGGCTTGTTGCTGTAAGGAATCATTCAACATTGTGTCATCAACTGTAAAAGGGTATACAGAGAAAACATTTTCTCATGCCTTCCAATACACGTAGGGGGTTTGCCTGGGGGAAAAGCTCTAATAAAGCCACTCTGTGTACATTTAAATCATGTTACCAATGTTGAACAATCCCTACTTGTTTGGTTTGCAGCTAGGAGGCACTGTCTTGAATGTGAGATTGTCATTTACAGTACTGAATGTTGCAGTTATAAGCTGGTACCTGGTTAATTCTGACTGTAGTAAAGTACCATACTTGAGTATTTTTGCTACCCTATTTGTGGCTGTATGGGGAAATCTATTTCTTGACTGTTGAGCTGACTTTTGATTTAATGTGGGTTATTTACGAATTCACATGTTGTTTGCCAACGATGGTCTACTGTGTTTATGAACAATGGCTCATGTTGCTATCCACCAGTGGGCTGCATTGCATTGTTGAGCAGTAGTTGTGTGGCGTTGGCCAACCGATCATCCGTATTGCGTTTCCATGGATGGCCCACGTTTCATTATACAACATTGAGCCGTGTCGTGTTACCAAACATTGCACTCTTTACATTGTCAACCATTTGTGTTAGACTATGAATTGTTGGTCAGTTTCTGAATAGTATGGAAGTAATGTAATTTGTACCCTACATGATTTGTATAGTTATCATAATCTGGGTTCACAAATCGATTCTCGAATTGAATTTATTCACGTGTTGCCCTTGTGGTGACATTAATCTATCGTGGTATAAAAAAATCAACAAATATATTGAGATTAATTGTAACCTATGACATTTTAAGTTCGTATTTTGAGGGTCAGAATCGATTTTCACAGAATTTTTTTTTTAATTATTGCAACCCTAATGACGAGGGAACGTGATGATAAATGTTTCAAATCATGCACGTGAAAATTTGTTATTGATTAATTTGTGGCATTTATGTGCATGTAAAATCCTACATATATATACTTAATAAATACATGTTTTACACAACTCAACCCCACAGCCTTCTTGGAGTGAATAATTAGAGAAGCATTGAGTCAGTACAAGCAAACTCTATTGTGCTTTTTGACATAGTGTCTCATCAGCAGTCAGGCTTAATTAAAGCAATGCTGCTGAACTGCCAGATGTGAAGGACAAGGCCTCTCTCCGATTCGACACAAAATTATATAATACAGAACTCATAGTTATTAGCATAATTATGGAGAATATAAATACATGTAACAAAATATATGAGCAGACACAATTTATACTTTCATTTTTTTATGTGGAGACATGGTCTGCGTTTCCATTATGTGATTTATATACTCCAAAATTATGCTGATAACTATTTTGAGTTACATTTAAGCGAATGGAGAAGGGAAACTTTATCAGACAATAAAAGTTTGATTAAAATAATTGATTTGTTGATAGAATTGCAATCCCCCATATTTTGACAATTCATTAAATAATTTTGTGGATGAATCGTAATGTGCCTCCGAATCACTGGTCGACTGTGTTGTTACTAACGAGTGGTTAATGTGGTTTTGCTAACTGCTGTTTTGTGGCTGTTATGTGGCGGTCGGTTTGGCCGCACAGCGCCAAGTGTTCTCGGCTCTGAGTCAGATCGCCAAGCACTCGGTGGAGCTGGCCGAGCTGGTGGTGGAGGCAGACATCTTCCCAGCGGCGCTCAGTGGCTTGCGCGACCCCGATGAGTACGTGCGCAAGAACGTGGCCACGCTCGTGCGGGAGGTGGCCAAGCACAGCCCCGAGGTACCGGCTCGCTCCATACCTTGCGTGCGCGTGTGTAGGTTTGTGTGTGTGTGGAGAGTCATAGCGTAGTGGTTCACGTATCGTGCTATGAACACGGCTGCCTGAGTTCAGATCTTATTGTGGCGAATGTATAAGGGTCGGCAGTGGGGAGAACACGGTGGCTGAGCTTGGTGTTGGCCTCACCACTCCCTCATGTACTGTGCTAGCATACAACGACTTCACGGGGAATCTTTGTCTTTGTGGGTCTGCGTATATGGCACGTGTGTTTGTGCTTGTGAGGTACAAAGACAAAGATCCCCCGTGTAGCCTTAACAGACTGTTGAGGCAAGTTCTGTCGGCGAGCACTTATTAAGGCTGGCACAGTACAAAAGGGGGTGGGTGGCCAGCACCACACCCGGCTGACTTTGTCTCCCGAGTGGCGATGTTTACACACCGCACTGGGTACACATTTTGAGGCTGAGTCGATCTAGGGTAGGCCCAAGACTGCTTCAGATATTCATTACCGATGTTGGCCGTGAGCAGGAATGGAACTCAGATTGCTGGGTTCATACCCCATGGGAACCTCATTTGCCAGTAAAAATATGATAATTGGTTTTTTACCCTTCTATCTGGCAACAAAACTGACACCTTTTTACAAGGAGTCATGTTTGCATAGACCACAATACCTGCAGTCATAATACAAACAAAAAACATAACGCTGATAATGTGCACTGTCCCTGAAGTTGATTGGTCCACACCCGAGACAGCTTTCCTTAGAGCCTAGTCTCACATGGGTTGGACCAGATGATGCCAAAAGGCGCACAACTCAAAGACAATGCACCATCAGAGTATGAGAGCTCGGGGTAAGCATTTACACCATGGGAACCTCATTTGCCAGTAAAAATATGATAATTGGTTTTTTACCCTTCTATCTGGCAACAAAACTGACACCTTTTTACAAGGAGTCATGTTTGCATAGACCACAATACCTGCAGTCATAATACAAACAAAAAACATAACTCTGAGTTCATAGTGCAGCACGCTAACCGCTACACTACCGCTACGATCAGTGGTTCACAAACAATCCAGTGTCCCAGGTTCAATTCCAAGCCAAGGATAAAATAAGTGACACCTATCACCACTCCGGGCCTCTTTTGTCTCAGAATTTAGAATGTTTTTCACTGCATCAGGATAAGTCGACCAAAGGGAGGCCCAGGCCAGGTTCTGATATAATTTGCCAATAATGTATGGCCAGAATAAAATCTTGGCAGCCAACAATTTGGTGATGCTGCATTGGCAGTGGTGCACAAGCACGGTTAATAAAAAAAACCTCAATACACTCTTCAACAACTCTGCCTTAAAATAAAAAATAGATATTTAATTACTGATATTTCGCACACTGGACCTTCATTATAATGTACTATGAAAGAGGGCCATTACCCGAAACATCAGTGATTATATATATTATTTTATGGTAATGTTATTGATGAGTGCGTTGAGTTTCTTTTTACATTGTAAGCAGTGTGCACTTACTGTGCCATTGTTCGCCAGAAATAAATAAACACAGACCCATTCACACATAAATAGAAAAGGTCTCCAGTTTAGCGTTTTTAATTATTCGGACAAGTGCTGTCAGTGAACAATTATTAGGGTTATCATCACATAAGATAGTGTGGTGTGGCCAACACCATGCCTATCAACTTTTGTCTCCTGAGTACTGATATTTACACAGCACAAACCACTGTTTGCAACTGGGATATTTGTAACTGGGAATTGACCCAAAGTCACTGAAATAGTTTCACAGTCTGCGTGCGACTGAGATACTGCTTACACACACACACAGGACCTCCCCTAGTCAGACTCAGTCTACAATAAGTACCAGTTACAGTGATCAGGAATTGGGAGACAAGGATGGCCAGAAATATGAGTTACTGTGACATTATTCATAAATCCTATCCACTTCAATCTTTATTTCAACAAGAGATTGAATTAATATGAACATTGTCTTGTTCGCAAGGGTGACCTGTGTGCTATGACAGCACCAGCACATGTATACAATATATTGCTAACAAAAACAAACATCCCTTATATACATATGCATGCTCTTTCTTTCCCCGTGTACATCCCAGCTGTCTCAGCTGCTCGTAAACAATGGAGCACTGGCAGCCATCGTGGACTACGTGGGCGACAGCATGGGCAGCGTGCGCCTGCCTGGCATCATGTCGCTTGGCTACATCTCAGCACATGGGGAGACGCTCGCCCTGACCATCATCACTGCCAAGGTACGGTGTGCGATTCGGGGAGGTCACCTGCATTTTAGTTTCTCATTCAACGAGATGCTGCTAATTATTGTAATGATGGCTCAATTTCTGCTTGGTCTGTCCAGGTCAATGACCTGGAATGTATTTTCCTGCAGCCTGCACACCATGTCGAGTATACCTCTTGCTATGGCTGTGGCTACTAGTCACGTGCCTACTCCAGTCTACCAGTGACCTGAAAAATATTCATTGATAAATTAAGCCCCGATTGTAATAATAGTCAATGGTAAGTGGGCTTTTCTCACGTTCTTTAAGTTTCAACATCACACGCTTTTTAAAAAAATACCTGACAAAAATTCGTTATTGAAAATATGACGTACTATTTGGTTTTCAGATTTAAACATATTTTATTATATTTGTTTTAAGCACCGTTGAAACCCCTCAAATGCTGACTGTCATAGACCTAGATTCAAATATAATGTAAAAGTAACAAAACAATGTTACCCAATTTCTTTTGGGGAAGGAGGGAAAACAGATATTTAGTTGTTTTAGTGTTATGTATAAAAAAAAAACATTGAATATATTTGTACTAAATTTATCCCTAGCTCTTATAGAATTCACATCAGTCACTCGTGACTGACTAATAGAGTGAAACCTCAATCTAAAGTTCTTCAATGTTCATGAAGAAAATAACATTAGGACCAGGAAAACATTTGATCAGCGAACACTACTGCCAAAATCGATCCAGCCATATTGTAATAACACATTCCTGCGGAGGGAGCTGGTAGGAACGTTGGGTTGCTCGGTCAATGGCCAGGGTCAACGGCGGCGTGGTGTATTCCGCAAATATGCCCGACTGTGAGGGCGGGCACAAGCCGGCGTGAGTAGGTTAAACGTTGAGTTTTATAAGGGCACCACGGGGTGACCAGCCCCTCCCCACCCAGCCCCACCCCTCCCACCCCCCACCGAGCCCCACCCTCCCCACCCAGCCCCTCCCTCCCCACCCAGCCCCTCCCTGCATGACGGACGGACACACTAATCCCCTGTGGGCTGGTGGAACCAGTGGGTTCCTACCAGTATGATCATCACATATTATAATATGTTCATCACATATTGTGCATATTCTGATACAGGGTGTTTCTGCTGTTTCGTCAAGAGGTGAAACCAGCTGCTAGTATCTAGTGTTCACGGCTTATAGCTCGTTGCTTGTATAAATAAATTAATTCTGTGGGTTGTACTGGTGACGCGTGCACGCTGTGTGTGTGTGTGTACACACAGGCGGTGCCCCAGCTGGCCCTCATCCTGGTGGACGAGAAAGAGGATTACATCCGCGCCACGACGGCGTGGACACTCGGCCAGATCGGACGCCACACGGCCGAGCACGCACGCGCTGTCGCCATGAGCAACGTGCTGCCCCAGCTGCTACAGCTCTACATGTCGGCCGACAGCTCCGAGGACCTGCAAGCTAAGGTCACACCTCACCCAAAGCTTCAGTTAAAGCAGATGGGCACCCATTGAGACTTAGTAGACCTGAAGAAAAACACAGGGAGAAAAACAGTCACGGTGACAGAATAAAAGCAGTTTAAAAACTATCCTGCTTAAGTGTAAATGTAATACTTGTCCTTTTATACTTAGAGGGTTGACAGTTTGAATATTATGGTAATTTTCTTGCCAGACAATAGCACTTACTGTGGAAAGATGTTATTTAAAAGAGGCAATGAATTAGGTGTGATTAATATGTCAAGGGCATCTGATCTGAGTCGTATCAATGTCCATAGGGAAATCTTTAAGAAATTACCACATGTGATAATGGAGGAATGTGTGCACACTGATCAACCAGCGCATGGGTTGTGATATACTGCGTTGAGGGTAATCGTGTAGTGTGTGGTCTATTCAGCTTTAGAAACATCTCTTGGCTAATCATTTTTAAAACAGCCCCAGTTATGATTACTATCCGCATCAACATCCTGTCAATACAGGTGACCACAACTGAGCCCTCCCCAGCTATGCCTATCATATCTTTTGCAAGGAAACCCATTGCTCAGAAATCTCGCTCATGCTCATGGAGTTTTGATGTCCTCATGTTAACTTCTTTTGAGGCAGAAAAAGAGAGGTCTGGTGTTTGGAGAGGGGTGGGGGGTAGTGTCATGCTGAGGGGTCTTGGTCCCAGGACCAGTTTAGATGTCGCTTCCCAGTGGTGTTGGCCATGGCCATAAGCCAAATATAGGTCGTGGTTCATAACTACTGTGCCATCACTCCACCACACTGCTGGTTACAAGCATCAACCGAAGAGTCTTATAGGCATGTCACGGTGGTGCAGTGGTTTGCATACTGCACTATGAAACACATCCAGCGGCTTGGATTTGATGTTCTGCCAATGCTGGAATTGATGGTGGGTAATATCTGCAGCAGTCTTGGGATCCCCATCCTCTCACTAAGCTTCATTGGACAGCATGCTGAAGTATAGTCAAACAATCATCATGGACGACACAAGCAGAGGAAGGCCTTTATCTAGCAGTGGATTGACAAAGGTATTAATACTGGTAGGAACCCACTGGTTCCACCAGCCCACAGGGGATTATTGTGTCCGTCCGTCCGTCGTGCAGGGAGGGGCTGGGTGGGGAGTGAGGGGCTGGGTGGGGCTGGGTGGGGAGGGGAGGGTGGGGAGGGGAGGGGCTGGGTGGGGAGGGGCTGTGTGGGGAGGGTGGGGAGGGGCTGGGTTGGGAGGGTGGAGGTGGGAGGGGTGGGGCTGGGTGGGGAGGGGCTGGTTACCCCGTGGTGCCCTTATAAAACTCAACGTTTAACCTACTCACGCCGGCTTGTGCTCGCCCTCACAGTCGGGCATATTTGCGGAATACACCACGCGGCCGTTGACCCTGGCCATAGACCGAGCAACCCAACGTTCCTACCAGCTCCCTCCGCAGGAGTGTATTGCAGGGTGGCCCAAAAGTCAAGACACATAGGGTTATTATATTCATTTTAACACTGAATAAAATGTAAAATGCTTATTCTTTAAGTTAAGATGCTATCTGTTATGATTATTAATATAACCTTTTCGTCTTCCTATTCAGATTCCATTTAAAAATTGAATTGAGACAAAACACAATTGATTAATGTTCAAAGACTACACCTATACAGATGGTCCCCGAGTTACGATGGTCCGACTTACGATTTTCGATCTTACGATGGCGTTAAGCGATACGACAAAATTGTAAAATGTTTTAAATTTCACGCGGCAGGCAAACGCAGCAGCGTACGAGGTACGATACTCTACGTTGGGACGCTGCCGGGATGTACGCATCTCCCGCCTTGTGTGATGCCTCACACAAGGCGGGAGATAGGTAGGCTAAGAATTTACCTTGTTTTTTCACTTTACATTTTACTGTGCAATACAGTATTGTAATTAATAAATACATACAGTATATAGTTTATACAGTACGGTACTGTAAATTGCTCTGTTATGCTAAATTATCACCATTCTTTAAGACTCCTGCGTAGGCTAGGCCATCTTCGACTTACAATATTTTTGACTTACGATGGGGTCGTCGTAACGCATCTCCATCGTAAGTAGAGGACTACCTGTAATATAAAAAAAGTCCTAAAGTAATTTCAAAACAGAATTCATGCATGCATTAATGTTAATGGCAGTCAGTTTGAACATTCGTTAATATAAATGAAATGACCCTGTGTGATTTGTTAAAATAAATATAATAACTCTGTGTCCAGCCTTTTGGGCCACCCTGTATATTTAAATGCTGACTTCAACAATCCGTATGGCTTTGTGTTTGTGTGGACATATGTGAAAAAGAGCTGCATAGCTAATCAGATTCCTCCAGTCTAAATAAACTTTCTGATTCTGTGTGTTAATGTGTGCAGTCGAAGCGCGCTCTAAAGAACATCCTGCAGCGCTGCGTGCACTTGCCTGCGCTCGAGCCCATGCTCTACACTGCACCCCCCAACATCCTCAAGCACGTGCTGGGCCAATTCAGCAAGGTGTCGCATGCACCAGCAGTACAATACTCATTCACTTCACCACTACATTTGACTATTGTGTATAACACCGGGGTGGCACGGGAGCACACTGTGGCACGAACCCGGACACCCGAATTCCATTCACGGCCATGGCTAACGTCAATGTCGAATGATATCTGAACCAGGCCTTGGACTCTCCTTTCACCAACCTGCATTTTGCTTGTTTGGAGAAGTAAGGTTAAACAACCTCCATTGCTGACATATCATGGGGAGGCCTTCTTCTTGCATCGGATTTAGAAAGGGCTGTAAATTAATAAAAAATGAACTAACTTGAAAACAAGGTACATTCCAAACACCCAATACCTCTCATAATATAAACATGGCTGTGTGGCCAACACAAGTTAATAAAAATATATATTACAGTCAGGTGCATATTTATACTTTTCTCGTGATGTCATTACAATGTGAATCCTATATGTTATAATGCAATGCCAATGCAATGACGTCATTAGAGAGCCATATTACTTTTTCTGACTGTAACTTTCAAGTATTTTTAAAGGTTTTTGTGTCACATATATGTAACTCTCAGGTATGCTGTGGGTTTTATCAATTCCACTCCGGTGATGTATTAAAAAGCATGGCAGTCATGCTACAATAACATCTGTAAAGCATACATGACAGCTAGTTTCAAGTTTTTTTTTCTTATCAACAAAGTTTCAAGCTTCTATCAGACAAGCCCAGGACACACAGTTGGCTGTAGCCTGGGCGTGTCACATACGTCTTCGTTTCGGAGATACGCATTGCTCATTAAAATATACATAAACTACTACTCTTCTTATCCATAGTCTTATCTGGGATTTGATATCCACGAGGGTCTGGGAATCTGTGATTCTTCCTGTAATCGGAATCCTAAAGAAATTATTTGAAATTTTGATTGTATGTTTCACAAAACAGATTCTCACGTGTACTTTCATGACTGATGAAGTTACATTTCTGTGTTAAGAGGTTAGAATGCCAAACTGTTTCATCAGCATCCATGAGTACGTTTTTAATGCAGAATGAGGTATCATTCGATCACGTAATATTGTAATAATCACATAACCTCCTGGTGGATATGTTGTTTTCAGCGTTTCCATATAAACATAATTGAGTCTCATTCAAAGCTAATAGAGTTGAAATCAGCTCATGTGCAGTTACTAGATGGATTATTTCTATCATAGGACTGGCTTGGGTAGACATCCATCCAGCACTGGATAGATCATGCCTGATGACGGTGACACATTTTAATGGTTTTGTTGAAATAGTTGTAAAAGGACTTGGGGATTTTCCAGTTTAACATTTCAAATAGTAGCAGCATTCTTTATTGTGCTGGTCACAGCGCAATGTTGCCTGCAGTATTTACTTGAGGTTTGATTTGACCTTTTGTGTACACATGCTCTGTGTTCGCTGCCAGGTCCTACCCCATGACAGTAAGGCACGCAGGCTCTTTGTGACGAGTGGGAGTCTCAAGGTCGTGCAGGAGATCAAGGCGGAGCCGGGCTCGGCTCTCTACGAATACATCAACACCATCAATGCCTGCTACCCAGAGGAGGTCGTCAGGTACCTTACCGAGCTGATCATGTGACACGCATACTGCTGCGTGTCTCGCTTTACGCATGCAGTCTTCATTAGACCAAGGCAATGCAAAGTGTCTCCCTGAGACCATGATCATAATAATTTATTATGATCTGGCCACTGTTGGATGAAGGCCTCCTGAAGCCATCTTCTTCTTTTGCAATCCATTTAGCTCCTGCAATCCATTTAGCTCCTGCACATGCAGTGGATGACTTGTCGGGCACATTCCCTCCTTTAGCTTCCAGTCTGTCATTAGTCTCGACTGTTGGCCATTATCATTCCGGTAATGTGTTTTGCCCAAGCCAGCAAACGATTGTGTTGGCAGCCCTAAGCCAGTGGTGAACAATCCACATTACATTGACAGGTGCCAGTTTATCCAAAGGTGTAAGTAGTCATATTCCTACTTCTTAGTCAATGATTTTTGATTATCACCACTGACTTAAAACTGTCTGTGAAGATTATCACTTTTCAATGCTTATTTGAGTGGAAGAACATACACTCTAATTTGATGCACGTATAAATATGCACGTGAACATGTGCTGCCCTTTGTCAATCCACGCCATGTGGGGCATGGGGGTAATTTGACCATAATGTGAGAGACAAAGCGAACCCCTGCCCCCCAAATATATAAGTTAAACTCCAGCTATGTATAAATTGTTTTTCATTTTACCACGTAAGGCCCACTGAGCTATATAGCTCTTTTTCAGAAGCGACCTGGCTACAACTGATAGCTCAACGAAGTGGCTTATCATGTGGACATTTATCGCAGCCAAATACTTAAAATGCACGTTGATTCTAAATGTGAAGGGAAAAACTAGAGGACTCGGAGAAAAATCCACGTGACCATGGGGAGAACATGCAAACTACATATAAAAAGATATCAGGTTTGGGATCGAACCCTCGATCTCCTGCATACCAGGCAAGGTAGTTAACATCTCGCCACCATGGCACCCTCATGACTCAAGGCAATCCTGCCCTGAAATCACTCCATTGGGGTTGTGCTCCACTGCATTAACCTAACTCCCCTTGTCTGCATGCCCGTCGCCTTGCAGGTACTATTCACCTGGATACACAGAGGCCCTGCTGGAGCGAGTGGAAAGTTACGAGCCACTGCAATAGCTCATGGAGATGGCGTTCCCAGACACAGGCAAGGAGGGTAGAGAAGTGATGGGTAGCCATAGATTGGAATACATAATTAGTCGCATCTTTTCATTGTGCCGATATCCACTTGGAAAAATATACATGCAGTCGAAGCTCATCTGAGACAGTGGTTATTATGTTTAAGTAGCATGTCACCACCCTCAATCTATAGTCACCAACAGTCGGCAATAACTTAACAACATGCACATGTACAGCTCTTTGTCAATCCACTGCTGGATGAGAGCCGCCCCACACAGTACAGGTCATGGGAACTATTTAACCATACTTCATCACGCTGGTCAGTGCGGTTTGGGGAAGGTGGGGTGCATAGATCTTTAAGTGTAGAACAGCAGTAGAGCAATGGATGTTGCTGTATTGGCCTCTGCTACCCACGACGTTACCCTGTAGCCTACATTCATGGTGGTCGCTCATCCAAGCTCAAATCTTGCTTACCTTTCTGAAATCTAATGAGATCAGCACATTCCAGATGATGTTATCATAGGCAACGTAACATGTTATGTAATATATACAATAAAATATATGACTCGCAAATTCCTAGAACTGGTTGTATTTTTTAACAGTTATTCAATGGAACTAGTCCAACATTTAATAACAAAAAATATAATATAGAATGTGACCATTTAGTCTAGCATACCACTGGTAAAGATTTTGAGAACATTTTTAGATTGGCCCTTCGCAGGATTAATAGTGCAAGAGTTGCAGAAACAGGTCTTGCTTGTGTTGTCAGGTGTGACAAAATGTGCCCTTTGGGAAGACTGTTATGTTTTTGTTATTGCTGACCACGTCTTAAAGAAGTGGATTGATCAGTTCTTACAGTTCATAATTAATGGTTAATGACGGAAGAAAACGATTTAAGGTGTACTTAGGTTTCTTAGAATTCTGGATGTTCTAAATACAGCAAGACTAATGTACAAATAAATAATCGGTGAATAAAAAGATTTGTTGCGATGGCTCATGATGCACATGCACAAATAACTAAAAACTCCCCACATTCGACAATAACACTGTACCCTTCAAAAATATATAAAAGGTGACGTTTTGGGCAAAGGTTTTTCTTAATCGCACATGAAGACGAATGTGTTTTTTAATTAAAAATATATTTTAATTGTCACTGAGAGAAATGGGATATGTCAGTGAGTGTAAAAAAACCTGGCATAATTGTTTTTATCAACCTGTAATTTATGTATGAGTTTACTCACGCAACTAGTTGATTACACAATGTGCCATTGAAATGTCCTCATGTTAAGTGTTAGTTATAGTCTCAAAGAGCTATACTCAGATATTGTTAGGATTATTAGATGTACATTCACTGTACGGGGCTTAGAAACCTTAGAAATCCTAGGGTTGAGTATCAGTGTCTGAAGCTGCCAAGATTCAACTGATACTTTTAGGATGTTTAAGTACTTGGTCAGTGTATCAATCTCAGCAGTGGCACGTCGTGCCTCCAGGTTAAGGAGGCCACAAATTCTGCCTTGGGTTTTTTCCTGTTTCAGGTTACACGTGCAGGTGGGTTAATTGATAATTGTAAATCAACATGTGATAATACACCGGTGCTGGGCTCCCTCCAAAATATGACTCATAGGAAGCTTGCATGGCCTGCATGCACTGTTTGTTGGAGGAAGTACTGTTGATGAAACCACTACCAGCAAATTCGAGTCACTCAATAAATCCACCTGCACGTGTCACCTGTGACTGGAAAACCCAAGGCAACATTGTTGCCTCCTCAACCTGGAGCCCAGAACCACCACTGAAGCTTTTCGGATTTTATGGATCATTTTACATTCCTGAGGCTCAGAGAACTAGGCAGATTTTTCGAAGAAACTTAGACTTTTTATCGTCTGAAACTTGGAGAGCTAGATTATGGAAAAGATTATAAGGGTTCAGTAGGAATTAATCATAAGGCTCTGACCACGGTACAGAAAAGTTGAATGTAATTACGTCTGGAATTAAAATACAAAGTATACCCCCATTTAATGGAAATGCCCATAAGAGGAAATCAAAAACTATCAGACTCTTTAATAAGTGCACAGATTGATACGAGGTGACTCCCACAAATCATGAATTGTACAAAATCTATACGAACAAAAATCAAAGTGTTGATTGTAACTCAGATGCAAGTTTATGATTAACTCACTACCACATGTGGGTGAAAAGCCACTCACCCAGATTTACACAATTGTATCCGTAAATCCACCCAATAATTTATTCTAGGCTACATAAAATTACACTTTGATGTGTTTTTGGCAGTTAAAGATCCATTGACATTATTCCTGTGTTTTAACCAGGTCTAAGTCAGGTCCTCCATCGACTGTCAGTTGACCGTGTGATGTTTAAATATATACACATGTATTTTACCACTTTAATGCACATGCTGACTCACCCTCTACCCCCAGGTTAACTTCTGTAGCTACGTCATATAACATTAACATGTGTTGCTAGTGGTGATGTAATTTTCTGAGAATGTAGCAAAAAGAGGCGGACACTTTGAACAGGGTGTGGCTGAGCAATGTGGACTGAAAACTAAGAACGGGAAATCCCCGTGAAACCCCCCCCTCCACTCCGGCTTTGCGGATGTCCAAATGCCAGCTGCTGTTTAGAAGTAACATTTAAGTATTTTTTTGTTGAATTACATCCCTAAAATATGTCCGCAACATAATATATACGATTGGGACACAACACTGGGTGGCCTGTTTTTTTTATTTAAGCTACAAGTGTTACCAAGCTGACATTCAATTGTAACAACAGCCAAGCAAAATTTGTTTAACAGGTCACACTGCTGATGAGACTCGAAAGTCAAAAGCTGTTCAGAGTTTGCCTGATGAAATTGCTGGAACACAATTTATTTGAGTGATGGAGGAAATGTTATTTATACCAGTTAAACAGATCCTTGTCTGTTTTCGATTGTATTTATCTGGCAGGGAAATATTGTAATCCGGTAATGATTTGTGCTGTTCCTTTTAGTATTATTCTTTTCTTCACTGCACCCGGGTGTGTTATTCTACAAACTTGGAGTAAGGGTAGATTGTTTACGTCGATGTGGAGCCGTTATATACGTGGTACACTTTCCAGGGCAGCAAGATGCATATGGCAGGTGGTACAGCAAGTATATTTCCCATCTATCTGTGCTAGCTAAAACTTTTCGTCCTGTATGGGTTGGATTTTTTTTCAGGATCTACCTCACACAATATTACTCAAACAAGGAAACGGCCAACAATCCTCAAAAAGGAATTGGCCATACATCCTAAAAGTAGACTTACGACTGAATGAGGCTTCCTTTTTGAATAAGGAACTGCTCATAATAAAGGATTTTGGGTTAGATCGTGTAAGTATAAATGTGTCGTATGGAGGCCTTCATCACACAGTGGATTGACAGAGGGTTGTAAATTGTTACTGTATTATAATTGATACGTGAACCTTGTGCTTGAACGTTTACATTCAATATTGCTGTGAGCCATGTCACACAACATGTTTACTCAAAGCTTTAAAAGCCTGCATCATATGTTTTATTGCATACTATTGTAGTAGCAGAATCGGTCACATAGCAACATAGCGCTGGTTGCTGGCAGGGAAGGGGATCTGCAGCTTACAGCAGCCCTGACTGAGAGCAGGTCAGGTGATAGACCGGAGAGAGGGATCTAGGGGAAGGGTCACTTAAGGGGCACATCGAGAACCCGCTAGTAGGTTCCAGAAGGGGGCGTGGCCGGGGGCGGAGCCAGGCCACGCTGACAGGACTGTAAAAGATGGGCCCCGGAAGGGGACTTCGGGGCTGTCGTTTGGAGCCGGATCCCGTCGTGCTACTGGAGTCTTCACCATCGTCTTCTCTTCATGATCTCGGCGTCGCCAGTCAGGCAGTCTACCAGCTGTTCTGACTGGGAACCGTAGTTACTAAGTGTTACTGTCAGGCCGTGTTAATAAACAGAGTGCCTCCTACTCTTAGTGTCTCTGAGTCAGTCACTGCACTATGAAGAGATACGCTGTCAACTTTATAAAACGAGACATCAGAGAGCCGTGAATATGAAAACTCGACATGTGAAAATATATTTACGTTCTGACATATTTACAATATCACATACACCCTACTCTGATACACCAGAAATGGTTGTACAGTCCCTTTGTCAATCCACTGCGAAATGAAGGACACCACATACTTCATCAGTCGTGGGAGTTGTATGACCATACTTAACCATACTGGTGATGACTTGCTTCTGGCCCCAGCACGACAATGGGCCGAGTCGCTCCCATTGGGGATTTGTAATTGGGAGTCAGTTGCTTTAAGTAGAGTACCTTGACAAATGAACCACAATTTACAAATGAACCACAATTTATACTAAATAATGCAGCTCACAACGTGGCACTTGCTTCACTGACACTAGGAAGTTAATGACGAGGGGGCTGTATAAATCTTGGCCAGGATATGAACGCACGGCCTCACAGCTATGAGCTCTGCTACTCTACACAGCTAATCTGTATTCTGAATATACCATCATGAGACTGAAACTATAAATATAGTTTATAAGAAAACATTTTATACATTTAATATATTTTAAATGTCAATCTCAACTAACGTAAAGATAGTGATATTTTGCAGGCCATTGTACATTGCAAAGAGCAATAATAATGCCAATGTACCCAGGGAAAGCCTCACTGAGTCTCAAATTATTTTTCTGGAGAGTTTTTCCTTGGGCTATTTGGTCTATTATAATCATGATTGTTTGGCTTATGAGAGGAAACCAGAGTACCTGGAGAAAACATTGCCTACGAAGGATAATTTAATCTACACATAGATTAAATCCACAGCCATTATATTATTTCTATATGCGGACTAAATCCATTGCTATGCCGCCACTCGTGACCACCTCAACTGGTGGTCACCCATTCAAACACCACTGCTCTTTACCTCACACTGCTCGACTTAAGAATTATAACTTGTTTCAATTCAAGAGACATACGAATTCTTATCTATTTCAATAACTTGTTGCTATGCACTGGGCATATGCCTTTGGGTCCGTGTTCGGCAACCGTGATAAAAAAACGATTTCCAAGCTCGGCACTCCTTATCTCGTAAAATGAGATCGGGTGCATTCAGATGATATGGGGTAATTTGTAGGGAGTTGCGATTCAGTTATAATTTAATGCCGGCATGAATCGCATGTATATGATGGAAACAGTGGAGTATACTTATT